GGTCTCTGCGGTGATACCCTTGTGGATGCAGCCCAGCACCCTATTCACGTGTTGAGCTTATTGTCCATCTGGATCCCCAGGTCCCTTTCCACAGAGCTGATTCCCAGATGGGTAGATCTCAGCTTGTGCTGCACACCTGGGTTGTGTTTCCCCAGGTGCAAGACCTTATGCTTGCTCTTGTTGAACTTCATCAGATTCTTGTCAGCCCACTCCCCAGCCCATCCAGGGTTCCTGCAGGGTGGCTCACCCTTCCAAAGTGTTCACTTTTCCAATCAGTTTGGTATCATTGAGAAACTTCATCAGGGTTACACTTTATCCCACCACACAGATCACTTATGAAGATATTAAACAGCCTGGGCCTAACATCGATCCCTGCAGGCCCCTACTTGTGCCAGGCCGTACATTTGAAAAAGAGTTGTTCCCCAGCACCCTCTGGGTGCTGTCTGTCAGACAGTTCCTCACCACCACACAGACCACTTGTCCAGGCTGCAGCCCATCTGTTTCTGCCAGGGCTGACTGACCCCCGTGAACCAAGCTCCTGTAATAGGTCAGGCCCCTACTCTTCATTGACACTGGTGGATCTGTTTGCATCAGCCTGGATTTTTGTTTCCAAGACTGGGGGCCCAGCAGTGCTGGTGAAGACAGAAGTGAAGAAAGTGTTGAGACCCTCTGCCTTTTCAGCACTGTTGGTGACTAATTCACCTCTTCTATTTAGCAGCAGGACAGTATTTTCCCTCTTGCTGTTTCTGTACCTGAAGAACTCTTTTCTTGTAGCTATTGACGTCTTGGCCAAATTCAATTTGCCCTGAGCTTTTCCTTTTTTTAACTGCATCTTTGCATACCCTGTCACCATCTCTGGAGTTTTCAATGGGAATATATCCATGTTTCCATCTCTGGAACCCTCCGATTTTGAGCAGATTCAGCAGCTCACAGTTAAGCCAAGGGGTCTCTTGCTCTATCTACATCCCTTATTTTTAAAGGGGATGAACTATTTTTGTGTTTTCAGGAATGTTCTTGAAAACCTCCCAGCACTTGTTAGTTTCTTTACCTTCCATGAAGCTTTCCCTAGAGTCCCTCCCTTCATGAGGAAACAACTCTGCAGCAATTCCCAGCATGGCTGCAGGCATTTTCCACATTCAATAGCTGCCTCTGGGTACAGGTGAAAATGTGAGGCTACTAATCTTTCATAGTGCTTTTGGAGACTGCTGAGAGCAGGAACAAAGCTCACACATCTCCCTGGATATACACCCAGCCCCTCAACAGCAGAGGGACTATATACAGCTCTTACTCTCTTGCCTAACTGGCTCCAGCTCAGAAAGAGACTGGTCTCCAGTGCTACATGCCTCTTCAAAAGACACACTAAAGCCTAGCTCAGAGTCAGGCCAGGTTACAGAATCAGATCTGAGAGGACTTATCTCCCATCCAAAGCTTTGCTTGCAGACGTATCTCAAGGCATGACTTTGTTAGCTACATAGGTAAGGATGGCCAAGGAAAGAGTAGCCATGAAAAACAAGCTGTGACAGCCTTTGTCAGAACGGCCTCTGAAATAAAAAAGCTCTCAGTAACAATATATTTGGTTTCTACTTCAGCAGATATTTGAAATAAGCAATCACTTAACGCCAAGTCAGAGCCCATTGAACAGCTAAGTGGAAATACTGTGTGTGTACAGACTTGCTATCCATGAGAAAAGAGGGAATGGCCTCAAACTAGTCAGTTTTATGAGTTCATTGTGGCAATCTCTTTCCAAGCGGCCCATGACACACCCACTGCCACGGACTGAATCAAAAATACTGAGCCCAGTTCAGGGATCACTTGATGCTACAATTAAGAAAGAAAATGTATTTGCTTTGAGCTGCAGATGTTCCTAAGCATGTTTTTGGGTTTTGGTTTTTTTAAGAGCCTTGTATAAACCCCTGAAACCATGAGTTTCATGTTAAGAGCTTTAAATGCAATTTTCTTTTCCAGACTACACCAAAATTAAAGACATCATAGTTTCAGCGCAACAGAAACCTTCAGCTTGGTACAACTAAGCAGAAAAAAGCAGTTCAATAGCTTCCTCAATGGAAGGGACCCACTATGGAGACTAGACAATTTTTAGTAATGCAAACAAGTTTCAATAGGAACAACCCATGAACCATTATTAACATGATATAAAATATAGGAGACTAATTCCCACTACACACCCACAAAAAAAAGTTGACCCGCTTCACTCCCAATGTCCATCCCAACTAACAGCAGTTCTGTTAGTCCTGCAGTGAAAAAAAAAAATCCATTGTGTTACCACACTACTTTCAAGCTAAGAACTATCGGTCACAAACCCTTCCTGGTCCTTCTCTCCAGCCAAATTCACTCGGCTCATCCTCTTAGTTCTTAAATGATGCAATTCACTCAAAGTGTTAACAGTAAAACAGTTGCAGCAATATCTTTTAAGAAATAATTAAGGTTTTAGTTTTCTTTTTTTCCCTGCCATGCACATCAGAACAATGAAGAAATCTCTCAGTACTGGTCTGAAAAACTAGAAGTGCTCTTTGCTGATGCTCAGCAGTCACCAGGAGTCGTCACACAGGTACAAGTGGCTGACAGAGACTGTGTTTGTCCATCAGCTCAAATCCTGACTGGTGATCAAGTTGAGCTATTTAAAGGCAAAACCTACAACTAATAATAGCTGAAAATCTGCTTAAACCACATACTCTGATGTCTGTACTTTTCAAGAGTCTTATTCACAGGACAATCCCATGGCTAGGAACTATTAATAGGGCAGTTTACAATGAGATACAATTCAGTTACAACACAACAGTACTAGAAATGTTTCTATAAATTTTGAAATGTTTTTAATATGTACATTCTTTCTTAGTAAATATTAAAGTAGTGCTTTTCTCTCGCACTTTTTTCTTTAAACTTCTAAAAGGGCATCAGAAATACAGTTTTCACCCCCCTCCAAACCGATGCACAGTTGTTACCCTTGTAACAAGCACATATGAATTCTGTACACCTTTCCCTCCCCACAAAAGAAATAAAAATATGCTATGACTATCCAATTACACATCATCACAACAAGTTTAAATTACACATACAAATAATTCCAGAGTATTTAGAAAAACCCAACATATTGGATTTATGAAACCATTCCATGCATTCAACAACAAAAAAAAACCAGAAGAAAAAAAGAAAAGAAATTATTAAGTTTCTTTAGATGGTGTTTTTTTGCTCTATCCAAGTACCAAAGTCTGGATTCAGTGTATCATTAAGACTAACCACTGCTCGAGTCATAGAAACATGACAGTACATAGATAACCAAGTTTCTATTTATAGACAATATGATATACAGTTACTACCTCTTTAATGAATGTCAAATAAAGCAAGTTTTGCTTTCTAAGACATTGAAACTGCACATTAAGAAAACAGCAAGAGGTGCTGCTAGATAGGTAACAACACTTTGAAAGGAAGGCTATGTATCTATATGATCCTGCTTAGCAGTAGCAGACAATTCGCAGGGCTCCTATGCCGTTAGCTAGTTTGTTTCTTTTTCCAGAATGACAAGCTATTCAAGAGCTAGTGCTTACTAACCCAGAAATTTCACCAATTTTATCTTCAAGAGAAAAAAAAAGAGAATTTATGCAGTGAAAGCCCCTGAGGGCAGTCTCTTTTGTTACATAAAATCTTTGTATTTTCTACAAAAGGGGCTTGTAGCACAACATACAGATTGGAAACAGACATTTTGGACATACATTACAAACCTGAATTCAAAGGGTTTGCTTTTTAACCTTTACTGTAAAGACAACAAATAAAATTATATTATTTACATGCAAAGGACTCTGCATGATTTTGTAATATCCTATTTTTCATGTTTGCCTTAAGATACTCCTTGAAAAGCTGTACTTCAGTTCTAGATTTATTTTACATGAATTGTGACAGATGTCACTCTCAAGCATCACTCCCTCCCAGCAAATAGATCAATACTGTCAATATGCTCAATTTATTTTAACAAATAAATTTAGAGTGTCATATGCTCCTGATACACCAGGGTTAATACCTGTGCAAGTTAGTATCCACTTATTAGGAAAGTTCCCCATTAGCAAGGTGCATTTTCAGTACAATTAAACCCAACTTGTTGCATTACCTGTTCTCGATACTGTCGAACTGCAGTTGAGTGCAGTAAGAGTACAAGGTTGATCAGTACCATGCATTACAGCTGTTAGCAATTCTGTTTGTGCCACAAAAACAGAAGTCAATCATTTGAAAAGAAATCTTGGCTCTTTCACTGAATTTACCAGGTGATGTTAATGAGCATCCTTATCAAACAAATTTTTGTAAAGGCTATTTACAGTGTACATGGCTGAGCATGCACCTTACAGACAAACACCTGCCAGTTCGATACCACGTCATTACACAGTGCCTGAAAATGACAACACGTCTTAAACACCATTTTAATTAACAGTTTCAAGCGGGAAATGGTCTTTATTTTACAACTGCTTATACTTGAATGGTTTTTTAAATTTTTTTATATAAAAACACTAACTCCTGTCCAGAAGTCTAGACACATTCTACGTACTACAGGTTAAGGCAGTAAAAAACTGTGTTCCTGATAACTGGTCTCGACAATGTCAATTAAAGCTGTCTGAAGCTACTCCAGATCTCCAACAGATCTTTGAAATCCCAAATCATTTGTCAGTGAAAAAAAATTCACTTTGCTTTCTTCAGAGTTTTAGTAATAGAGAACCGAACAGAATTGGGTATGGTGAGTTAACAAGCGTTAAGGGAAGGAAACATTTGATTTCAGTTTATTCTGTGAGTTTAGAAGTTGAAAGAATACAGTTTTAGATGGGACTCTCAATCAACCAAGAACTGTAGGGAATGAAGGAGAAAACCAATCCTATGCACAATACTGCATTCTTAAAAATATACTGTTATCTTCAATAATTCAAGTAAGGTAATAGACATTATAAAAAATAACTTCATGAACCATACTCAAGTTTCAAATCACATTCTCAAACTTTTAACCCAAAGCAGTTTTATTGTGTTAACTTCATATAATAAACCATGAAGGTCTGACTGTACAAATGGTTAATGATTTGCACTTGTGATTCCTGTAATAGCCAGCAGACTTGCTAACCACCTTACTGCAAAGATATGGCAGATTACGTATTTAATCAAAGCACTTTGACTTAGGCATGAAACAAATTCAAATGGTTGACATTCTGTGTTTCTAACGCATCGCTCATAAGAGAGGCAAGAAACACCCACTATTGTGCAGACAATTATTTTTACAGAAAACCTTTCCTTGAAATTAATCTTTTATCCGCAGCTGTAGATGAGAATATAATCTGTTGTAAACAGGGCACTGTGTTGTAAAACCAGTTTTGTTTTTAATTAAGATCTCTCTCCAAAAGCTGGAAAAACAGACTCTTCAGAATGTCTTTCAAACGTAGCGTGGTCTGTTTGCTATATCATAAAGTTACTTTCATTTGATTCCTTTTTTAAAGATGTTTCTGTTCACAGCAGTTCTGTTTTTAAAAATTGTTTGAAATTTATATAAAATTCTGTACATGTTCACAAATTATTGCATAAACAGCATAATCTTCATGACAATATTCAGCAACACGTCCATCTCAGGAAGTTCACGTTTCCCTTCTTGCTTTTTTCTTCTTTTTAACTTGTTTGGGAGATTCCCAGCTTTCTTCAGACTTTGCTAAAAAACAAAACATAACTATAGTGTTAGGACTGAGAACATTTACACAGAATTGACTTTTAAAATCCAAGATACTTCACAGTATTATGGTGTGCACTAATTCAGAACAATCAACTAGCAGTTCTTTTCAGTTGATTCTCCCAAAAAGTTAAATTGGAAGTGCATCTAAACCAACATTTGCCAATTTCCATCTATCATTTTACCCCTCACACAGAGTGATACACAATGAAGGTTATTCATTTTGCAAAAGTATTGTTTACAGTAGAGCCATTGTTATTTTTTGGAAATAATGTACACACACATACCTTACATTAAATGCTCACTTTTACCAGATTACACTGTTTTTAGCCACTATATATGCGATGTGTCAGACAAGTATTTTTTAAAATAATGAACTATGTAAAGATGTGCTTACATGGAATCCATAATCCAATAAAGAAGCATTATATTCTTTCAATAAAACAGATTGCATTGGAACATGCTGGCTGCCAAAAGTGACAAAACAGGTGAAGTATTGTATATACTGAACATAAGAGATGTTCTTTCAATTGTTGAGGCATGAATCAGTCACAAAAGACTTCACATTATAGAACCAGAACAGAAAGTCCTAAGTTGACACATTGACTTGAAAGATTCTGCATTCAAAACTAGGAAGTCAATTAGTGCAGCTGAATGAGAGTGATATTATGAAGTGATCATGTTTCTTCTGCAGTCATTAAAAATGCATTTAGTACCTCAACACTTTGCCAGGAACTTACTATGGATTGTCAGTATTTATTAATTCTATTAAAATGTCTAATTCAAAACAACTTTTTTTTTTTAAGCAATGCCTATCACATCCTAATGTCCCCTCTAATTTTCCTGTCTTACTGTGTGACTACTTCAGTTCAAGCACTTTTGCCCAGTACAACAGAGGGTACATTCAACATCTTTCAGCATAGCATGTTTTCAAAAACCAATATACCTGCAGCAATTCAGCCTGATCTTCATGCTGTTAGGCTACAACAAAATATAAGCGCATCACTCAATACTTTTCTACTCCTGTATTAGCAACTGTTTTCCTCCATGATTACATGGAAGCATATGGAAAAGGATGCTAATGAGCTAAGTTGAGAAGTCAAAAAACCCCAGTAGGTTAAAAAAATTGAGTGGTTTGTATTTTTTCCCCAAATTTCTGGTAGCTAAACATCCCATCAACTGCTATGTCAGTAGCCATCTGTTCTCCACTTAAAACTTGCAAGCAGGCCTTTGAAGCAGCATTGGCAGAACTCCTTAGTCACAGCATGGAGCTCCAGCCCTGAGGGTGAAGCATACATCCAAATGTCTGTTAAGGACTGGACAAGGCCAACAGACATTTTCAGTCATTCAAGCGTACAAAGCCAGTTTTTCCTCTAAATGAAGATATATTTGTCAAAGTGCTTTGGTGAAAGCTAAAGTATGACAAGATATGTAAATGAGATACAGAAGTAGTTGATACGCGACTAAACTCAAACCCCAGGGCAAAACATTCTGACTATATACAGTCTATGGGAATAAAAGAACACCCTGAATTCAGACAAATGAATTGTACTGAAAGATACTTACTCTGTGGAGGAGGCACACTGTTTTGCTTAATATTGGGACTAGAAACATCTGTCTCTTGCAGCTTCTGTGGCACTTGGGAAGCGATCTTGCCAGAATCGCTCTCTGATACAATTACAGATGGCTCAGTAGAAACAGCAAGTGAAGGAGCCTCCTCAGCCTATTTGACAAACAGGAAAAAGATTTTTCCAAAAGTTAAGTCATACAATAGTAAAATCTCTTATATGGCGTTATTTTGGCAGTACACTTAGCAGCTCCTGAAAAGGCAGCATTGAAAAATTAAGGCAGTATTAAAATACTTAAAAGTTTTCAACCAAGGCTGCAAGGCTGTGAGTGCCACCTAGTGCCTAAGGTTTTAGTTGCACAGAAGCAAAAAACCACACGAATTAATTCCTAAAATATACAACATGCAAATAAAGGGAGAACAATTGAAAAATCCCCAAGATCCTAAAGAGATTCCAGAATGTACATTCAAGAGAGATCTAAAGACGATGACACATTCACATTTGGCTACAAGGCAAACAGCCAAGCTACATATGTCCAAATACACAGTCTGAAACTCAAATAAATCAAACTGTTGTAATATTTAAAAAGCATTTGCAGTCATTTCTATCAACCTCTCAAAACACTCTGTATGTCTGTATCAGGCTAGCCAATATTTGCAAGAGCAGTCAGCAAGTTTCAGCAGAAACTACTGCAGAAATAACTGCCAAGATACTCATAGTATTTTACTATTATCTAGCGATTTTGAAGGTTCCCACGCACTACAGAAACAAGATCTAACCGTAGCTTAATGTGTAGCACTTAAAAAAAAAAAATCAGTCAGAACATACAAATGAGCTAGAAGGGCACATTTTTTAATCATACCATACTGAGCAAGAAATTAAAACACCTGTAATTGAAAAAAACCTAACACCTGAATTTAGAGTGGAGCAGTTCTCTAACCTTTTATGAATACAGAAGTTTGCTGTGCTCTTACACATCAACTGAAACAAGCTTGGTTTTTTTACAAATGTAGTATTTCTCTTAATCTAGTGAAAAATTAGTAAAAGCAATTTTTTTTTATATGTCAACCATGCTGAACTCCCATCCTATAGGAATTCCAATTTTAGCCTAATGCAGTCTAATGGTTAGCTACATACACAAGTGGACTTTAACACTATGAAATGTGGTTCCTAAAACAAAAGGAGGACATAAAGCTCCTAGTTGTGCAAGGTAAGAGATTCAGATAATTGGTATCATAGTTTTGTTAGGACAGAATCACTCTCCACCAGCAGGTAGAGCAACTTAATTAAGACTTAAATGGCTCAGCTGTCTCAGGTTGACTAACAAACATGTTGCAGCTTGAACATTACACCATGCAGTATTACTGCAAACGTAATGATACAGATGCATACAGCATTACCTGGAGAATTTCCCACATATTTCTGTCTAAAATTTGGATAAAGGAAAGTGGGTAGTGATACCAAACATTGAAAACTGGGTACTACTCTTTGCTAGGATATTCTCTGTTAACAAATCCATTCAGAAAGGAGACCTGAAACAATTGGTAAAAACTATTTGATAATATTAGTAGTTATATGCACAATTCTATGATTTATGCAGTAGTGACTTGTTAGACTGTTAAAACTGAATGATTTTCAAAGATACCTCTTCATTTAAAACCTGTCCCTGCTGAAAAAATGCAAAAGGCTTCAAACGCAGCCCAATGTATAACAAGAGAAAAGGATCACCAGATAGTGTGATGGGAAACAGAAGTGTTCAACATTCAGCTCTTTCTGGTGTTTGTGAGGATATTCTGAATAATAACTGATTTGTACTCAGCTTGTTTTTTCCTCATATTTGGTTCTCATGTTTTGGAGTGCTGCTGAAGATTAGCTTACCTACCTTGGAAACTCAAACCATCCATTTTACACGTCAGTCACAGACTTTTGAAAACTTTTTGGAACAGTCAAGTCAAACAATATTGGAAAGAATTTTTGCATGTGTGAAATTACAATGAACCAGATCTGATGGCAAGGAGACTTGATAAAGACTGACAGACATCTGCATTTTCAGATACAACAATTCACAAGTTCTCCTTTATCAACTCCAATTCCAGAGAACATTAGTGATAGTTTTGTTTGTCCTTTGCCCTCACACCAAGTTTAATACAGACTCTGTCCTGTTTTACAGTCACCCCTAACACAGCTATACATAGATACATATATGAACAGACTGAATTTAAGACTCCACAGTAATAGGAGCCCTCAAGCCCCTCAGAAATAGTGCACTGTGTAGGTCTACATCAGATCTGATGCCATCAAATCACCTAGAAACTTGGGTATGGCTATAAATACTAATGAACTGAGCAAAGTCTACTGAAACTGGGCGGGTATTTTGGCAGTGCTGACAGCTTGTGAGAAACGAAATCTAGTCGCAGGTATTGTTCAAACCAATTTAAATTTCTGAAGAGCAAAATCTACCCTTCTGGGATGCACCAGGTGCTTCTTTCTAGATGTCAAATCCCCTGACCTTGATGTCGCAACCTGAAGTTTCTGTCCACACATTTTCAACTACAGCCTCTAAAACAAAACAACTCAATATATTTGCTTCACAAGTTTTTTTTTTTTAAAAAAACCACACACTGCCAGGAATAAAGCCACTTTCACACACACAGGCAGATGTCTTTTCAGATACAGCTTCAAAAAAACCCAACTTTGCACTAGTCAGATAGAAAGGCATTCAAGTCAGATATTCAAGGTTAGCTAGTGCTCACCATGAATAAAGGTTGAACTGACCTCAACTATGTAATTCTAGTAAAAGGTCTGTTTTGATGCAGAATACTTAGGGTAAGCCTTCAGTATGTCTGGATGCGCTTTTCAATACACATTTTCAATAAACACTTTCTGTACTACTTCTTCAGTGACCTGCTCCTACTATTTTCATTTGAATCTTAAGACCCTGTTATCTTTATGAAACTAATGCTTAGCAATTAAAAATTAAAACTCAGTATTCTGACAGATACCCTCTGGTACCAAATTGCTGTCTCACTAACATTGTTCATTCTTTATGGAACACAAAATCAATACCACTAGAAATATTAAATATCTTACATCTTCCTACAATGTGATGCTTTGTAGGGTAGCAGGATCTGAAAAAGCTGCTATTTGGACAAAGATCAAAGAGAAGTTTTATTCTCTAGAATACTGGTTTCAGCTGTGAGCTGAAGCAATCAGTTTATGAATTTGTTCAAATAAAAACTTTTCTTATTCAGTCTAAGTACAGCTATTAAAAATCAATTTTAGAGTGTATTTAAGTCAGAATGTAGTAAGTTACACTTCATTCCATTGCAAAAAAACAGTAGAATATGCTACTCATCTTGCACTCAGACCAATTAGCTCTTAAGTTTCCAGATATCAGAGTTTTAAAGCAGTGCTTGAATACTCAAAAAAACCCAAAACATGACAGTCAAGAAAGTGACAACTGATTTGGAAGATACTGCTTTTCAGAGTAGACATACTCTTTAAAACCCATAGCTGACATCTATCTAAAATTCAATCTCTCAGCTACCTATCTATTCATCAACAGATACCTGAAACAGCCTTCTTACTGTAACCTTATCCACATCAATTAATGTTTCAAAGGACTTGAGCACTTCCAAATCAAATTGCAATATAAACCTAATTTTGTGTCCCTACCTTAGCTGGTTCACTAGTACTTAGGGTCTTCAGAGAAAAAGCTCTTTCCTGCTGTGGTTGAACTTTTGAGGTATCCTTCTGAAATTCCTCTCCAGCTTCTCTATCCAGTTCTTCAGTATCCTACAAAAAGGTGGGTGGGAGAGGAAAAAAGAAAGAGCCTGTGTTTGCAGTCAAGTTCTGACTGTTTTTCCCTGCGTGAGTTTTGTTGCTGTAATGAGCTTCTACAACTACGAAAATCTATCAAAAAAATAAAGCAGTGGGCTAATATTAGCCTATGCAGACACTCAATTTATAGAACACAATGAAAAAAATGCCCTTAGAAGCCAATTAAGCCCAAAAAGCAGTACTCTTCATGCAATTTACTAACAAAAATCCCAATCTCAGAATGAACTGCACTTCACACTCTTGTTAAATTACAAGGATGTGAAGTTAATTTGAAATTACTCTAAAAACTTTGCAAAAGTATCACAATGACACTTCGCTGCTCTCAATTCTGGCCTTCATTACAGGTAAAAGTTTTAAAACACAAATTCTGCATATTAACCTGCACTGTTTTCTATCATGTATTAAGCTTAAATATTTTTGTAAGCCAATTTAGTTTGCCACAATACCTGTAAGACAAACTCCTGTGTACAGAAACTGAAAATATATCCCAAGTATCTAAGAGTCTCAACCTTTTTTCCTTAAACACACTAATGGCAGAAAGGTTCCATTTTACATGTGGAATTAGAGTAGTTGGACTTGTTTATAGCACCAGAAGAATCCTGTGGTGGTGAAGAGTAAATAGACCACAAGTCTCCAATTTTAAGCTGAAAGTACCTCTTGAAACACTGTTCACTTACTTCCACTGAAACCTTATGAAAATGCAGTCAGTCTAAGTCTCTTGATTCTTGACAGGAAAGAACATATATTGACTTACACACAGCTATGAAGTTAGCTTCCACTGCCCTGACAAACACTGAAGTCAACAAGTAAGTGTGAGCATTTAAGTATAAGCAATCACAGAATCATTAAGATTGGAAAAGACCCCCAAGATCATTCTGTCCAACCTGTGACCTAACTCCCCCATGTCACCTAGGCCATGGCATTAAGTGCCATGTCCAGTCTTTCCTTAAAGACCTCCAGGGACAGTGACTCCACCACCTCCTCGGGCAGTTCTTGCCTGTGTCTAATCACCATTATCTGTCAATTGTGAAGAAATTCTTCCTAATGTCCAAACTAATGACAAAGATGAAGCTGTTTAAATGAATGTGTTCCACTTCCAGCGGACAAATATGCAAATTTGAAGTGACTTTGAAGTAGGACTGGCAAGTTAAATTACTAAACTTTCATAACAAGGATAACTTCTATGATGTATTAGCAGTTCTGTCTGCTCCTATCAACCAACACCCCAATTTTATATAAAAATTTAATACAGAGAAATTATCTGTAAACTGATGACCTCAGACTGATGGACTGAAGGAGAAAGTAACAAAACTGGAATGTCTGGAGACCATGTCTGTCTGATTATGTTAATATGGACAGTAGGATTCCATTTGACATACACAACTTTAAAAAGAAGCTCATAGGCAATGGAAAACAAAAAGATTCAGAATGCACTCAAGTAACCTTAAGATCCATGCAGGATATTCACAAACACCTGTTAAACATAGCCTATTAATTGTAACTTATACTTAGTCATTGCAGAGACAAGAACAGATTTCAAAACAACAAATTTTACAAAAGAGCTGCAGTCCTAGTAGCCCCAGACTGAATTGGCCTCAAAAGAAACACTGCAAATCGACACAAGCTCCACCTCCACAACTTTAAAAAGCATAACAGAATTTTAATCTTTCAAAATGGCTTTAATAAAATCTCAGACTAAAAAAGTGGTAACCATAAAAGCAAATCCAAAACAAGTATGACTCAAGTTTTGATTTTTGCTCTCTCTCTAATTCACCTAGTCAGGTTCCACTGAACGTCGATCATTTTGTAAAGAATGCAAACGGTGAATGGCTGTCACTATAAGCACAAGCAGGATGTATTCTGAGCATGAGCTATTAAAAGCTTTTTCCTATTAGGAAAGTACTTGTTTTCATCTATTCAAACATGACTCAATTGCCAAGTGAAATGCAATCTTCTTTTGCTATTTTTACAAATCTGTTTCAATGTGATTCTTCAAAAGCTGTTAAAATAACACAGAAACTCCAGCCATCCTCAGCTGGCAAATACTCTCTCTCATTGAAATCTGACTCAGAGTAGCTCCACCTTCTGAGTTTGAGGCATTGAGACTTGCCATTTCACATAAACCAAGCTGCAACAGTACCTCAGAAGACCACTACATTCTCACAGAATTGTACCTGAACAGAGCTTAAGAGAAAACTTCAATTTCCTTCATTCTCCTAGCTAGCTATGTCCAGCAAGGCAGCTGTCTTTCAAGGACATGAGGAGAAGGCTTCCCATGCAGAGGACAGTTCCTCTTGGAAGTATCCCTACAGTACAGAACCCTGATTTGATAGAAAATAATTCAAGACAAACACTTCCCATATATTTCATGCTTTTCATAAATCCAGCAAAGCTACATTGTACTCACAAGTCAAACATGGGATAATTCAAATTAAGGAAATACTAGTAAAAGAATTACTACTTACAACTCTTGAGAAACCACAGTAGACAAACCAATACCATAAGGAAATTAACTTCCCAAAAATAATTTTTGCTTAAGACACTAACAAACATAGATAAGGTCATTTTGTGAATTCCTCACAATTGCATTTCCAACAAACCAGGTTTTGTTCCATTTACCTGTGCAGAAGAGTTAGGGTCTTCACCCTGCTTCTTCTTTTTCTTCTTCTTTTTCTTAGATTTGCCACTTGTAGAACTCTGAAGAATTGGCTCTGATTTTTCTCTTTCATTATTTGTAATCTTCATATGGGAATAGAAGGTATTTAGCATTTAAAATGACAATGAAACATTCCTTCTATAGACTAATCACAAGTTAATAGCTACAAGGAATTTAATTGCATATACAAGTGTAAACAAACAATCTTATCCGTTCAGTTCATTTTAAGAAGAGCATATTCTTTATGTGCTATCTGGTAAGGTAGGAAGAGGAGTTGGGAATGGAAAACTGTGTACTGGTGGCATGGAAATGCTGTTTTTCATACCGAGAAGTAAATATCATTAAGTATTTGTGAAAACAGATCTAAATCCTCTCCGTCTATACTGATAAGGCAATCCATATATCACAGTGAAACAGTAAGATTCAAAGAGCTGAGTGACTTCTCTTTTCTCAGTAACATTCAGCATTTTCCTTCTCTGGGTACACATCAAACACAACTGATATTCTTATCAGTGTAAAAAGAGATGAGAGATTACCTTTATCATCACCCTTACGTTACTTTAAGAAATGGCAGTGGTAAGGGCAAAGTCTTGGACCTAATGAGAAAACACCACCTTTTACCTTCTGAATATCAGATCTCTCTTCACGTTTAGGAACAGAAGCAACTTTTTCTTCATCTACCCAGTTTCCCCATTCTTCTGCTGGTGCATTCCAGTCAGAGCTGGGATCAGCTGAAGAAAGTCCATCTACAAAGATTAAAAGCTTTTTTCAGGAATATTCCCTTACTTTACAGATCCTCTTTTCCAGTTCACAAAAATGAAAAGAAAGAAAGATCTATGCATAAACCCACCTCTTGATACCAAGAGGTAAACAGTCATGCCCTCTCACTAGTTGCTTAAATAAAAAATCCATTCTTAATAATAAAAATTAGTATTTGCACACAGAGTTAATTTCCATGTCCTGATAAAGCCATAAATGTTCTCTGCTCAGAAATGTGAATCAATTATGCTTTAAAAAAAATGTAAAAAACTGATTACTTTGAAATGATTAACTGAAATGTGCTTCCCTTATCCTAAACCAGATAAACCACAAAAAATAGTTTCAAAATGACCTGGTATCGGAGCAGTCATGCCAGAAGTGGTGGAATTGAGGGCTGCAGCAATCTGTTCCACTTTACAGCCATTAGACAAGAAGCTGTTCTTAGAGAGAAGGTAACATGCAAGGCTGCTTTTCTTGTCACCTTCTTGAACCATTTTTAAGGTCAATGCACTAATGAGACGCACTAAACTTTTTCTTAAACAGGGAGCGAAAAGTGGGGAATGAACACCGATTTTACTACAATTCCCAAATAATTTCAGTGATTTCTATCCTGCATATGCCTTCTATACACCTAAGAACTACCTAATATATGCTAAATGAGAAAGTTAGATTAAATACAAGAGCCTTGTGTCACATTAACTTTTCCATAAGGTACAAACATGTAAAAGCAAAATCTGTGACTCAAATACAACCTGCTAAATACATCTTTTGCAGACTTGCAGTTTTTTCTCATCATTTACAGTAAAACTGTTTTAGCTTATTACAAAGATTTTTCTAGCAAATCCCAGCACTACCTTAAAATGCATGAGCTCTTTCGCTTCTGAGTTTGAATATCCAAGGTATTTTTCCTTAAAAAATAACCATTTTTTATTATAATTTGTCAAAACACTTCTTCCTGCTTTTTTCAAACTGTCAGTTAGCTTTACAGAAGTGACACATTTCCAAGATTTTGTTCAGATGCTCACATCTGCCTTATACAAGCAGCCAGGATCAGTAACTGCACTTAAAAGTAATTAACATTTTGTTAATGAACATTTTAGAGGAACATACTTAACCCAGACCATTCGTCATCAACAGGGGCTTGAGCATGACTTAAATCCCACTGAAAATCAGAAGTACCAGCCTGAGAAACTGATTCGCTGTTCGATCCTGAAAGGGAGTAACAAAAAATTGTACTTCTAAGTTAGCAAGCTTCCTGAAGTTTTCTTGGGGAAAGAAATTCCAATGAAAATAGGAAAGAAAAACAAAAGGCTCAAAGAAAAAAAAGTCTGATTCTAAGGACTGCACAGGACAGTAAAACTGATAGGTTCTTGAACACAAGGTATATTCAGAAAGCAGGGAAACTGAAGAGGGAAGACAAAACTATGTCATGAGAAGAATATGGAGAGACAAGAAGGGTGAATAATCAGTCTGTATGGCTTACAGCACTCTCCTCAAACTCAGAAATACAGTGACATTTTATGGGTAGCGAAATTATAACCCTGTATCTGTAAGAACTCTCACAGGGAGAAGTTTAGAAGAAAAGATTACTAGAAAGAAACTTCATTAATTACGTTGCAGATCAAACAATTATACCTTACTAAGAATCCAATTCTCATTTAAAGGAACAGGTTTCAGGACCATAAAAGCAGCATGATAAACAATAGTAAGGCCAATACCAATCATGATAACAGAAAGTGCTACACATCTAATGTAATTGTTTTAAGAAAAATAAACAACCAGAAACCATTTCATAAAACAGTAAACCAAAACACTTAATTGCAAGAATGAAAGAAATTAATCTATTACTCTTTGATGAGACTTACTTTCTAAATTGTTTAAATAGGACCTGGGTCTCTATTTTACATACACCTCTGCAAAAGACACCTCAGACAGCAGAAACATTTACATGTTCTGGGGATTTTTGCCAGCCAATCACAAGTGAGAAGTAAATACTTATTCATGTGGACACTTTACATTACAACATTGTTGGCTAAGGTGCATCAAAGATGTTGAAAATACTTCACTGTTTTCACACTTCCCTCAAAGCTGAAATGGTGGTATTGCAGATGAATCTCAGCTCAGTCTGTTGTCCCACTTAATAAACTTTCTCAAGTTTTAGCCTAGTGACTGACCGTGCATTCAAGTGGCTGCTTGGGAAATTTTTTTTGTTTGGTTTCCTTTTAAATTAAAACTCTGTAGAATTAAGACTTTGTTTCTTCTTTTTCTTTAAGACGAGGTTTCTGTAAGTTTTCATTAACTGAACTGTTCTTTGGAAAGTTTGACAAATTAGACCTTGGCATTTGTAACTTCTTTGTTGTCAGGGCTCAGATGTGCCCAGAGAATGAAGCATTCACCAGCTGTAGGACACTGAGCCTGACTTCAACAGTTAAAAGCCTGTAAACTGCAATACAAGTAAATGCAGCCCCAAGTACATAAGCACTTGGCCAGCTACTTCTGAAAAGAAAGTAGCCATGCCAAGCTCATTAGGTAACAGGAATGAGTAAGCAAGCAAGAGCAGAAAACCTGACATATGATCCCTTTATTGTATAATAAATCATTGTAACACTTATGTCAGCAGTTTAACACACAAAATTTGTTATACAGCCAGGTTTGCCCTCTATAGCAATTTCAACCTTCAAAAAAGAAAACCCCAGAGCTCAGCTTTTCCACCTGTCATGCAGAGAAAATATTCAACACTTCAAATCCTGCCTATGGATTGCACTTCAGAAGTAGTCAGTCAGTTCCTTGGAGGGATGAAACCTCAATCATCAAATAACAAACCTCCCAGATGACCAGGGTAAATGCACTTTCCTAGAAAGCAATCTTCAGATCTCTAACTTAGACATAGCAACACTGAGCAATCTCTTGTGCCCATTATTGAGATTTAACACACAAACAGGAAGGCCAAAGAAGAAATAATACAATCACAAGATGATTTTGGCTGGAAGGGACCTTAAACATCATCTAGTTCCAACCTTCTTACTGAGACACCTTTTGACTATCAGTTTAAAACAGTTACTTTATTGCATACTTTCAGCATAACAAAAAAGCTTTCTAGGCTGTCATAAAACATGTCTTCCACCTCTTTACAGTACTATTTTCAAGGAACAATGAGAAAAATGCATATTAATACCACTTGGCAAACTCTATTTCCACCTGGAGGAGTAGAGGAGAGTGGAAAAATCTTTGGAAAGGCATACATACCAGAAACCCCAGGAGTTAATCCAAATGAGGAGAAAGAAGTAGAATTCTGTTCAGAGGTATTAATCCTTGCATCCACATTCCAAGCAGCTGTGGGGGAAGGAGAGAAAAAAATAAAACTAACTTTACACCCTGTCAGCAATGTTTAAAAAGTTAGCTATTTAATTACAAATCTGGTCAGAAAAACAGTGAACATTCCAGCCATGGTAACACTTTGCACAATTGAGGACACTACTTTGCTTATCAATCAGTGCTGATAGAGATGTGACTTTATGAACACATTGCTTGAAACAATTTTGCAGCTTTCCAAGATCATCTTCCCTTTATGGCCTTTTCTACATATAAACTTCTCACAAAGGAAAAGTAAACTGTGTTTAAAGTCCCATACTATTATTCTTCCCATTACTGCAATCGTTAAGTTATTGAAAAGCACACATAGATGAAATGCAGCTTGGAGTAAACCTCATATATATGTTTAAGAATAGAACAGAGTTCAGAACAATTTCTGATGAATAGGAGATAGTGCTTTAAAGTGAAGACAATTGGCTGCTAAGTGTAAGGGAGAAAATAAGCAGAAATAATCAGTGGAGCTGATGCGTCAAAAGAAACACCTGGTTATAGCAAAAAACTAGTAGTTTCTATTTAGAATCACATTTACTTAATTGGTGGGGGTGCTACAAACTGGACAGGTATTCCAGATGTGGTCCAAAAAGTGGACAATCACTATCCCAAATCTACCAACTCCTGTGTTAATACATCCCAGAACACAGCTGTTGTCCTTCACTGCTAGGACCTACAGCTGGCTCATGTCCAGCTTGGTGCCCACCAGAACCCCTTATCCACAGAGCTGCTCTCCAGACAGTCAGTCTTCCAGGGATACTTCCTACCCAGCATCAGCACTTCACATTTGTTCTCACTGAACTTCCTTGGGTTGGTCCATTCCTTCACCAGGTTTAGGTCCTTCTGGATGGCACCCCTGATCTGGACTGCATCAACTGATTCTCCCCTCCCCACTCAAGTTTGGTGAACTCTGGAAATCTGACGTAAATTAACACACTGTTGCTTCCTTCAGGTCACTTATAAACATGATGAACGGGACAGCTCCAAGTATAGCCCTGTAACATTTCCATTGTTACCAGCCTCCAGATAGAGTAGGACTTACTAACCATTACCTTTGAGCCTGACCAGTGTTTCAACCATCCTAACTTGGATGTAACAACACTGAGACGGTGTTGAAAGCATCAGTCAAGTCATCTTAAGGGATTTCCACTGCTCTTCCCTCATCCACAAAATTAGTCATTTCACCAGAAGCAAATCAGCCTGGTCAGACATGATGTACTTGCAGTAACAAAACCAACAACAAGCTGGTCACAGTCACCAAGAACCACCTTATTAGAATATACAGCAGAATACAGCTAACCAGAACATGGAAAAAGCCCTTTGCATCTACTTGGCAATTTTAAAGCTTCCAATGGTCTACCACATCCAGCCTCAGGAACCCCATTTCAAGACATGCCAGACATAAGAAAAGGTCTAGACTTTTGCTGGTTATGGCTTGGGTGTTTCGGATTTGTGCTGACACAAGGTTGATAATCGAGGTCTTTTTGTTATTGCTGAGCAGTGCTTATATAGAGTCAAGGCCTTTTTGGTTCTTCTACTGCTGGCAGCAAGAAGACTGGGGGGTGCACAAGAATTGGGGAGGAGATACAGCCAGGACACCTGACCCAAACTGGTCAAAGGGATATTCCATACCATATTGTGTCATCCTCAGTCATAAAGTGGGAGGAAGGAGGAGGAAGCAGGGGGGACATTTGGAGCGATGGTGTTTGTCTTCCCAAGTAACCATTACACCTGATGGGACCCTGCCCTCCTAGGGACGGCTGAACACCTGCCTGCCCACAGGCAAGTGAATTATTTCCTTACTTTGCTTTTGTGCATAGCTTTTGCTTTACCTTTAAACTATCTCAGTTCATGAGTTTTCTAGCTTTTACCCTTCCAATTCTCTCTGCCATCGCACTGGTAGGGAGCGAGTGAACAGCAGTGTGGGGTTTAGTTGCCCACTGGGGTTAAGCCATGGCAAAAGTAAAGGACATATTACAGCATCTACTAATAAGCTGAAGATTGTTGCCCAGAGAGAAATCAAGAAATCTCTTCTCCATTATTATTATGGACAGTACAAGTGATAAAGGCAGAAAATTGTACTGAAGTCTAAGAAACAGTTTCAAATGAGAAAAACAGTGTAATGCTAAATGTTACAAGAGCTGAAAATCTTTACGTCTGGAGCCTAAACAAATACCTGCCAAAACCAACCAGTTGGTTTGATCATGTTGGATCAACAGAATAGACTTATGACCTGGGTTTAAGATGCTCTTTAAAAAAAACAAGTTACACTTCAAAGTGGCTTAGCAATCACTTCCAGAATTTTACAGAAGTGATATACAAAATTGGATTCATTTACAGAAATAATTTTCCCAGATAAACTAAAAAAAACCCCAGTTTAACTGTACACAGAGACACAGGTGCTAAGCCATCAGAACCTATAGTAAACAGAAATTGTTCAGGTCACATTACACTAGATCATGCCACAATTTATTTAATATATCAACATAAAGGTATGTCAGAGATCCACTGCTAAAAACTAAATTTATGAAAAAATGCTTCAGTGAAGTTTTCTGCAGAATAGCTCACCAATAGGAGTGAACAAAGAACGCTCCTTCCAGGGCCTGCCCACCAGGGTTACACCCCAGTCCTTTCCATTCCCATTAGTATCTCCAGTGTCCTGGCCCCAAGCCAATGTCTCAGTCTTCCTCTTCCCAGCTGCAGTTGAAGGAACAGATGTCCATTTCTCCTCCCCTACACCAATCTGTGAGGAGATTTTTACGGACTTCTCATTCCAGCTTCCTCCATTTACTGTATGGCTTTCACTCAATCCTGAAGAAACTTAAATACAAGAATAATGAAATCATTATTTAAAATAATAACTAGATAAAGAATTAAAATATTACTTCCACGCACATTCATTTGATAAAAAAGGAAAATACAAATGAACAGCAGCTTTGCTACACCAGCGTGATACAGACGAGCTGCTGCTCTGTCTCAGCTGATTTTCCAGTTCAGATGATATGCACCATCTGTCTACTAACTTGAAGAGTGAAGAAAAAACAGCACCAACTGCACTCTCTTTCCTCATCCCTTTCTTTATAGGGCTGATATCTTGGTGAACTAGTGCCTCTAGATTAAAAAAAGGCAGGGACAGTGCTTTCAGCACTGCTGGGCAATTTCTCTTATAGAACATGGTGATGATTTGTAGAACAACCCATACACTAAATGGAGAATAATTTCTGTTTCATAACTGCATACAGCAGTTCTCTAAGCAGGAAGCCAAAGAAATTACCCAGTATTAGAAAATACTTCCCAAACACTACACAGCATTTACAAAGAGCATAGTTATCATATTGACCACAGAGTCTGTCACAGTTAAAAATCACGGTAACACTCTGAAAATAATTTATATGAAACATACTTTATGTTTCACTAAGGTAAAAGACCACAAGACTGCAACAGTCTACCCTGATGAGAAATCTAGCCATAGCAAGTTTAATGTATACTTTGAGAGGTCAGCAGTACACTGAGACATAACGATCATTATAAAACTTTTATATTTATGCCCCTATAAAATATAAGGGCTAGTGCACCCTGCCTCAACTCCTATCTATCACATGCCTTTCTCAAAGGGCTTTGTATATCAAATCCCCTCTCTCTCTTTATGTATGCAATGTAAACAAGAGAAAAATTGGTCTTTTACAAACAATTAAGAAATACCTGCATATTGCAAGTGTAACATATAAACAGCCAAAATCTCATGCACAAGTCAATATCATACGCCAACAGAAACTACAGATCAAGCATTTTATTCCTCAAATGAATTTGGCAGCCAAATTCAAAGTGGTCTCACCAGCAGAGAATTGATTAGGTGAGATATGTCCAGATTTTCTCAGACAAATCACTTCCAAACACAGATATCTGTAAGGTCAGCATTGCTGTACACAAAAACATTGTCCTTTCTCCACAGTACTAGCACTGCTCCTGTCAGCCGACTTCCTCTGAGGGTAGTATGAAGTCTCAGGGAAAGGCCACAACAAAAATACTGAAGATACAGAAATCAAATTGTAGCTGGCAGAAACACCCTTTTGCAACCTTGCAAAAAGGCAGCTGAAGTCCTGAAGCAGGAACTTGATTATTCTGTGTTTATTATATTACTCTCCTGTCAAAAACTTTACCTTCTATATGACCAAAAGGTTTCCACAGAATCACAGAAAAGTTAAGTTTGAAAGGGATCTCTTGAAGTCACCTAGTTCCACCTTCTGCTCAAAGCACAGCTGACTTCAAAATGATACCACATTATTCAAGTTCTGGAAACCACAAAGTATGATAGTTCAAAGCATCTCTAGGCATCCTCATGAACAGCTTTCTTCCTCATGACCTGTCAGAATTTCCCTTTACTAAAACTTTATTATTGCCTCCTGTCCTCCCATTATGCATATCTGCACAATACAGCTCCTTCCTTCGGTGCAATGGTCCAGGAAGTTTGCATGTGAAATAAAGCTCTCAGAAACAAGCAGAAACGGATTCACTTTCTGAACCTGGGTGCTTTTAATAACTCATTTGTTGGCTTGCTTAATTATACTAACTACTTACATGCATCCCAAAGGAGTATGTAAACTGAGTAACACATGTATACCATCTGACACAAGTGTAAACTTTGTAATAAAATCAGGCTTGTGAGTTCTCTGCAGTTATCTATACTAAGTTTGTCTTTGAGCAAATAACTAATTCATTAACAAAAAAAATTGAGAAAGTTTGAAAAGCTAGCATAAAGAATTTTTCAGTGGAGTTTGAAAATAAGCTTTACTGTTCTGTAACAACATGTATAATTTGTATACACGTAACAGAGACTTTTCAACCTGTCAAGAAGTAACTGCAACTTAGAAATATACTATTTGCATAGCCAAAAAAGCCAACTCGTATCATGAAGTTCCACATCAGTAACTGCACAAACTCCTGCACTGACAGTTGGTGTTTTCACTTCCATAAAACACTTCTCTAGTTACTTAGGCTGCCAGACAATGAAAACTTTTTACCTTGTGGAATTGATGACTCTCCCTTTGCAGGTTTAGAGCTGCTAATCTGTGCATTCAAAAGTGCATCACCTGATTAAGAAGTAAGAGGAAAAAAGGCTAGACCAAGTTGTTTTTTTCAAATAGCAACACCTGTAAAAATCTAATAGATTATCCATTACTAATAGTTTTATAAAAGAAACACATCAGTACCTCAAAGTCAATGAAGACATTTCCAGAAAACTTAATAAAATTAAAATGCTGTAACTCTTCATTAATTTGTGTTTATTTTGCAGAGAGAACAAACTCAGAATTGACTTAAGGCCCACAAACCAAGTAGCCACAGATTCCAAAGAAGTGCAGCTAGTTTCACCATGAATGAAGACCATAAATCTAAAACAGAGGCTGTCATCTTCAAGCAAAGGGTGGCTCCAAGTATTTCAGACATAACTATTTCCAACTCCCACCTTACCATGAAAACACTAGATATAGCTTAAGTCCTTTGAGATTAGTCTGGTAAAAGATGATACATAAGAACATGTAATGCATAAAGGACTATCTAGAGAGGTTACAGTAGCAATTATGGCTAGTGACAGTGGATATAGACAGTTGGAATTACCATTTTTTGAAGTTGTGTGTAAAAGGACAGGAAATAAAAGGAAACAATTGATCTAGTCCTCAGGGCAGGAATATGCACTCAGTCAAAATGCAAATAAGTTGATTAAAACACCAGGTAAGGCATGCAAATTTCAATAAATTGTTACAAGGCACCAAACAGTTGCTAGGTTCAGTCTTTCTGTCACTTTGCTAGAACATCAAGTTTCATCTAATTAAAGCACCAACTTCTCAGTTGCAGTCAAATACGAATTCCTGTGCCTACACATGATTTAAACCAGCCCGTGTTTTTTAATGTAACAGCAGCAGCCATAGCTATTGAATCCTTAGTTATAATAATCATTACTAAATCTCAGCCAGATGTGCCTTACAATTATGAACAGCTTTAGAACAGGTACTATTAAATCTAGGTTAGAAAAAATGCCTACACATATTAAGCAGTGAATGATCTGTAAAGAGAACTTCATGGGCATAACCTTCCCACAAGGAAACATTCAAAAAGTTAAGGAGCTGGTGCTGCCTGCAGCAACGCTGAGGAGGCCTTTGAAGTTTCCAGAAACATAAAGGGCAGAGTCACTACAGCACAAGTGAAGGAACAAGGACATACACCTATGCAGCTGTGCAGCTACCAAAAGAGCACCAGGGTGGAGGTCAGCCACTTACTCCAGAACATTCTTTCCTGAGTTTCCTCAAAAATATGGCTACAGGAGGGAGTCTTGCACAACAAAGAAGTACTTTTACACAGCTTGAAATAATTTCCTCAAGAGTTACACCTCCAAACATACCTATCATACATGCAAAACAGGGCCACTATTTAAGCATTCAAGTAAAGTTATCTTCCTATGACACATTCAGAGTGTCAACCATCATACCTTTGTTTTTTCTGAGACCAACTGGAAGCGAAGGAGTAGGCATCAGTTGTTCAATGGATACAGTAACCGCATTTTCCACCCCCTGGAGATTTGATTCTCCTGAGCCCCCGTCGGTCAGCACCTTGTCTCGCTTACGCTGCTGACGCTTCTCCCTGTTACTGATTTTTGTTTCCCAGGTTCCTAAAACATCACCCAAATGGAAACATCACTATGTAAGTCAGAGAGCAAGGAAAAAGTTTTAGCTTGTTTCGTATCAAGCTGAAGTCTGAGGGCAGTTTAACAATCAGACATGGCACTCGGCTTCAACATTAGTTTGAAAACATGAACAAATGGCCAAAGGTTAAGTTTTTCTGGATGTGTTGTGATAATACTTTGCTTCACAGAGCAAAACTTGTTTAATCTGAGGACCCTACAATTCACAACTTCTCAATTTTTGTAAATTTAATATCAAAATATCAGTTGAAATTACTAAATGCTGTTGTTTCAAAGATCAGATTTCCACATATCATATGTGACTATGGAGTTATGACAAAATGAGTTCCTATGTTTCTTTATGAAGCAAATACAAGTAAACTGTAAACAGCATTTAAGCTAAAATATTTGCATTGTGTATGTTTGTGTTCAGTACCTTCATCAACTTCCTTTCCATCCAGACGAGACACATCCTGAACCGTTTTAGCATCCCCCTTTGGTTTCTTTTTTTTCTTTGACTAGAATAAAAATAAAACATTATCTTAATAATTACTTAATGATCACTTGTCATAGTGATTTACAATCCATCCCCCAAATGAGGGAATAAGTTTGAAAGATCTTTTCCTGAACAACCCTCTGTATGGGCAGTCTGGAAAGGAGTACTAAACAATATTAACTGCTAAACATGAGACCACAGAAGTAACATGAAAGACTTATACAGCACAGAAATGACAGGCAGAGGAACATTACTTATGCTACAGAGCATAAAGCCTGGTGGAAGAAATGCTGGTGGCATCACAGTCACAGAGTAATGAGCTATTTAGCAGGCAGATCCCACTCTGGCAAAATTTGTTTTGTGCAGAAGCCAAGTATAAAGTTACACCATGAGAAATAAATAATGTCAGTGATGTCTTTAAAAAAAAGGTAAGAAAATTCCAGCTGACTTCAAAACGTAAGCTGTGATTATAGCCCATACACTAAAGATCTTCCTTCTCCCAAAGTTTCAACAGTTATGACTTCTTGGATATACAAGCACAGCAAAACAAATAAAAATAGATATGACTACTTCTGCAAACAGTTTTGGTGCAACAGGTAGCAATAGAGTGTTAAAACAATAATATTGAGGAAAAATACCCCAAGATATTGGGAAAGATTATATTGCAGAAAGCCTTGGAGTTTAATCTTTTAATAAGTTAAACGGACGGCAAATTGACTTGACTACATTCTTAGAAAGAAAATACAGTACTGAAAAGCATTTCCATCCAGTGAAGAAAGGTGTAAGAACTACCAGCTAAACATGAATGAAAAACACTGACTTTTTAAAGAGAGATGGTTATCCACTCAGTGTTATAAGGGGAACTATTCACTCACCCACTGTCTCTGAAATATTCTAAGAATGCTGGATGTCTTCCTGGAACACATGCTTCTGCCACAATAGGACTAGTAATATATATTACTAATAATATATACTCAGCTGTATACCTGAGCTCAAACTATATGATTTTCTAGTCTTAGGTGCCTAAGGAGAGTATATCAATCCTTCTAGAATTCAGAATTGGTAACACCTGTATTACTACCATAGCTGCTGCAGATGTCCTGTGGGCCCACAGTGGCATGCAGTTCACACACCTTAGAGTGAGCATGCCTGAAAAGTATCCTGTAGCTTCAACACAGGTCCTGAAAGCAGTAGTTTGTAGTGCAGCCCCAGACATGATAAACACTCAGTGCTTATATGCAATGCTGTGTCAACACACCTATAACATTGAGAGAACAGACTTGGAACAGTTAACTCATGGTTTACTGTACTTGGGGCCCCAAACTACAGATGTACCCAAACCGAATTATCTCACCTACTTGCTCAGCAGACTACCTTTACTCACATACCAGCTACCTAACTTCTGAGAAGTCCCCAAAAGAGAAGGGCTGATTTCAAAAGTAATCTGAGAAGAATCGGTTCTAAAAATATGAACACGTCAAATTATTTGCCAGAGCACCTAAGGAAAGAGTTAAAAAGGAAAGTGAAAAACAGCATTAAAATTAGTTATGAATTGTCTCTTGGAGCTCAAGTAGAGGAAAGATAAATAAATTTGTACCTGTCTCCCATTTTCAACTGAGATTCGAACTTGAGGTCTTTCCTACCCAAAGAGCTGTAACTACCCAACTGTTCTCTGGCACTTAAGAGATTACCTGAAATTACTTCAGAAGTATTTCAGACAACAGTTTCAGATGACTACTCCAAACTGTAACTCCAGTTTCCTTAAATAACCGGCTCCACCAGAGGTATTGACACTGAATTTTACACTTCTCATGGAAACATCAAAGTTTACCAATTTAAAAATAAGTTTGTGATTAACAAACTGTTTCAAAAAGATTGAGAATCCAAATGTTGAAAAGGTATTTTACTTTCCTAGCCTGTGTTACTAGAACCTGTTTGTAGAAACCACAACCCTAATTATTTATCCAATTTACTCACCACCTGTCAAACTTTGTCACTGAGATAGTGACAGATGAAGCACAAACTGACTATAACAGCAAGCAATGTTAAAGGTTCCTGAGCATGCTAGCCCAGTCATTTTGCAGAAGCCTATGCATTCAGTGTCACCTTCTGCAACACAGAAATGCCAGTGTCGGCTCTGCTACCAGCCAAAGAGCACATGAGGAACTCAGCAGGCCTTCCAAAATTCTTTAAGTCCTCAAGATGTGCTGTCTTCCATGCAAGAACAATAGAAAAACAAACCTTTCCTCCTGATCCCTAATAGTCTAATTATTTTTAGTATTCAAGACAAAGCAGTTGGGTATTTGCAAACAGAATGGGCAATGAAGTTTCAACATCCACACAGCCCCTCAGATACACTCGCTTACACTAAACAGTAAAAACCAACCCTGTACTGTGGCAAATCACTAAAATGGAAAGAAGGGAAGAAACCACTCAAAGTGTCAAGGGAATCCGTGAACAGCCACAGCCTAGAAATTATCCAAAGCTTTCCCTCCCACAAAGCAGAACTTAAGTTGCCATCCTGAAGAACTGTGCAAGGAATTCACAACCCTGAAGTAGCTAAGAAATACAGAAACACAAAGGATGTGCCATTTTCATTGAAAGCATATATCAAGCACAAGAAAATAACCACTCTTCAGACCATAGATTACACAGATTCATACATCTACACACATGCATATATGACTGAAATCCTACCCATTAACTTACACTGTCCATCCCAAGCTAAACAGACACACAGGACCTCTTACAACTTTAGCAGGTTTATAGTGTTACAAATGTAACAGGCGCCCTGAGAAACCTTAAAAACTAATTACACGCCTGTACAGCTACCTGTAGTTCAAAGAAAGTTCTTGAGTATGTTTTCAATTGAAGGGTCACAATCTACTCCTGTGGCAATCATACTTTGCCCAGGCTCCCGCGAAGTGATATGAAAACACAAGTTGAATAACCATCCATATGCACATATTGGTACTTATTTACTAAAGCTGCAGCTTCAACTTCACAGTTTAAAATTCAGACCATTATGTTTGTGATTTTAAGTCAAAGCTAAAAATGCTTAAAGTCCTACAGGAAACTACAGTTGTTTAGCCAATATACTAACTGCAAAAGAAGTTATTAGAGGGTACTCAAGTGCATTTATTAAAGCTAAAGAAATGACAGTAATTATAGAATTGCTTGGATTGGAAGAGACCTCAAAGGGACATCTAGTTCCAAACCCCCTGCCATGGGCAGGGATACCTCCTCACTAGACCAGGTTGCTCAATGCATCAACCAGCCTGGCATTGAACACTGCCAGGGATGGAACATCCACAACTTTTCCGGGCAACCTGTTCCAGTGTCTCACCACCCTCACAGTGAAGTGCACATCAACTACTAATTTCTGACTATTTCACATAATGATTTGTTTTTTCCAATACGCCTCAGTACAGTTACAACAAGTTCATTTTGCTGAAGAAAATAAATCAGAAATGCACAACAGTGGGAAAAATTAATGCACAACATTAGCAAAAGAACCAAGCAAGAAAAGATTATCAAAGGTCTATCAAGTATATCCATGTAGCCTACAAATGACAGCATATATGATAAGGCAAGAGGATATTAGTCCTCAGAGTATAAAAAAATAACACTGCCTTTAGCATGGTTACCTTTTAATGAAGATGCAGATCAAGGTTTAAAAGATGTTTTTAATGTAGCTGTTTAATTTGCATAACAAAAAGCTCACACCACACTTCAAAACCCATATTTGTCAAAAAATTAAGAACTCAAATCACTAATGAATACATCTGGCAAAAGAAATAATGATCTTAATCCTTTGAATAGTAGTCCCCCAATTGTTAGACTATTTACAAGCCACTTAACAATGCTATCATTATGCTGCATCTTCACAGAAGCCATTGAAGACGAACCACAAACTTAATTTCTGTAGGCTTAACATTGTCACATGATGAACAGAGGTATCAGTGTTTAGTGGGGGGCAGGGAGGGGGGTTTACTTGACAAACATTACATGATACAGCATGAGCTCAGATGTTAAGAAAACACCACTTTAGCTCTTTCTAACTCCAAATTAGACTAGTACTCTTCATAGCAAGAAATATACATTTTCACTCGGGTAAGTAACAGGATTTCAAATCACAATTAGAGTTATTAGATACTGAAATAACATGCACTAAACTTTAACATTGTCATTTTGAATCCATAACTGACCTTTTCATTCTTCTTTTCTGTGTCCACAGGCTGTTTTACATTATCTTTACGGACAGTTTGTATTACTTCATCTTCAGATACATCAAGGAAAGACCGTCCATTAGGCTGTGTAAACAGTAAGTGTAAATCATAAAAAACATGGAGAAAGCAGTTGAAGCAAAGCTCAAATTTCACTATTACTGAAATGAAATTATTTGTTGACTGAAAAAACCTATAAGATCATTGAATAAAGCAGACCGGATTGTAAAATGGTGCTCAAAATATCTACTGCAATTCTGTATCTAGCAAACAAAGAAATGAAAAAGCAAAGAAAATGGGTCTTCTCATTTCATATCACTCCTGCTCAACCCAGGAATTGCTTATCAAAAGGTAGATTTCTGAAAGTTACGAGCTTTTAAGTTCTCTGTAGCTGCTCTGAAAACTGATTCAGAACAGCTACAGTTGTACAAGCCACAAATTATCTAATTAACACATTTACTACTTTGCAGTAGTTCAGCAACAGGCTGAATTTTAAATATAATTTCTACCTTGACCAAATGTCTGCAATTTCTATCTATGCATATTCCACACAGCTCATTTCCTCCACAAGTCAACCGCCACAGTAGAACAGAAAAATGAGAAGTCACACGTGAAGCATGACTAAGCATGGCAGCCCATTGTTCTTTTCAGACAGACTTGATTACAAGTGTTACCTTAGCCTACCATTTCCCCCTCACGTAATAAAGGAAAGAAAACAAGCATGCATTACTTAACATATAAAGTTAAAAGTCTGGACAGTCATTAAATTAGTCTTTATCACTACCTTTGGCAACAAAGGCATACACCCTAGTATATATAATCTCCATACAAAAATGCAATGACTTTAAAGCCATTTATTGTTAACAAAAAGCTATGACTCATGTGATTGTACTTAACCGCAAAAATTATGAAAATAAGCAGATATTATAGCACTGTTAACCATTAATTTCACAGAAAAACAATGGTCAAGAGTAGTAATTGATAGAGTCCATGCAAATGTCACAGATTCACATTCATGATGACTCAGAAATATTGACTGAAAATTAAATAAGCATAAATAACTACTTCAAAGTTGCTTTAATTCCTGCAAGTCTTTCCAAGCTATATTACCTTTAGTTGTTATTGAAAAAACAAAAGCTATTTTAACTCTGCATCACACAAACGTAATTGTTTTCAAGTAAAAAAAAAAAAAGCCATATTATAATTTAGTGTGGCCTATTCCTTCACACATTAGATCTGAGCCTCAATTTAACTATTACAGGCATTTAAGTCTTGCCTTGTCATATTATGCTTACAAACCACCCTTGGCATGATTTCACCAGTGCATAACATAGTATTGCTTACTGTAATTAGCTGGCATGCCAAATTCTTAAAGGTAACTATTAATAGAAGTCGAAATACCAGGTCACCCAACCTCTCTTCTCCTGAAACACTCAGCTTTAAATTAGACTTCTCATACTGGAGATTCAGTACATTTCCCTCAGCATTCTGAAAATGGAGTATATTTTACAAATCTGTGTCTCAGAACTCTTGCTAAAAGTGCTTCTCAACAAAGCTCACAGTACTCAATTCCACAGGGATACTAAAGACCTGATACTCAATCTTGAAAATAACTCATTGCCAAAACTCAGTTCTTGAGCCTCTCTATTTTCCCCAGATACTATTTACCAGTAGTCAGATAACAGATTTGATGTATCTAGTATCAGACTGGTGTCAAAAAAGTTTACAGCCAACTAACTTCTTAATTTCTGTACCTTGTTTTGCTTCTTTACTATTACATATATACCTTAAATTGAAAACCACTTCTTAATCCCTCCTGAATATTCAACAGTTGAAAGTTTTAATTTTTAATTTCAAAAAACTTCAGCTGTTTCTGTGCAGTAATAAACTAATTCCCACTCACTAAGAACACTCTGGAAAAATTAATCCGCATGACTATATGATCAGATGATCAGACAGCATTTTGAACAAACAACAACCTTTAGAAATAAATTTTAAAACATGCGCTCTGATACATTCAGGGCGAAATATGTCCCTGAATTGTAACAGTCTCCTTTTCAGTGGAAGCTTTCCACATGCATTCTCTGCCCACAGATGAATCATAGAATTTTAACCAAAATTCATGTGACCATTTTTGGATATACCCAAGATAGCAACAGAAGCGGGAAAGAAAAAGGCTTTCCTATAGTATTCAGAAATGTTTCTTTTTAAAAAGACAACCACAGCCCAAAGCTTAAAACTCTATGGGTAATGTATTAAACATCCACTGACAAAATGAATTAATTCAAAAAATGCAATTTTTTTGCCATCTTTTCCCCCCCTCATCCTAAAGCCTCCATGTAAGATGCAGAAAGGCAGGAATAGTACTGTCAATAAGACTACTGATTACTGAATACTTTTCTTGCCTGATGACCTTAAAATTTCAGTATTTAAATAAACCTTTTTTCACACACATTCCTTTGATGATGTTAAGACACACCAAAAGTAGAAAAGGTTTTGCTGGGACTGTCAAAATGAAAAATATCCTTTAAACATGGTACAGTGCAAAGGATAACTTGGTTTCACACTTTGAACAGCAGTAATGAAATTGTTATCATCTCAGTCTTACAAGGCTGTACTAGCCAAAGTCCTTAGTTACTCATTATAAAGATATCTCTGCTTAGAGTATCTTTGGCCAATGACAGAATCCGTTTACCAATATTTTCTGTAAGCTTCTCTTCAGAAAGAAACTCAGCAGTTGTCTCTGTGAGCCTTGTAGAATCCTACAGCCCTCCTTGCTCAATCTGACCATTAGCATACACACAAACCTATACAGGAATAGTATCAGCTGAAACTATGAAGAAATATTTATACAACATATTTCTAGGTGCAATAAGGGTTAAACAATTGTAGCCCAAAAGGTTTTTTCAAGCAGACCAAGTATGAAACTTTCTCATATGAATGCAAATGCCTTTACTAGAATGTGTAGCATTTACTCTCCAGGTGTACTCCAAACAATAGGAAGTACACAGTCAATCTGGTATTTTCCACATCTAGAAATAGATGGTGTGAATGGCTTTCTAAAGCTGTAGCAGAGCACAGGAGACGCCTACTCTCAAGTTTCTGTGGTGTTGTGCAAATTGCACACAAACCATGTAAGAAAAGCTTCACCTTTTTCCTCTGAAGGTTAAAAAGTAGAAGAGCAAGGCACAGCAATTATTCAGAAGGGAAAGGAATTGCAATTAAATATCAAGTGATTTTTGGACAGGAAAAAAATATATTAATGGGGCCAAAGAACTCTGTGACAGGAGAAAAAGAGCGCTGCCTCCTCCAGGAGTTAAATGGGGAGAGGAAAAAAATGAAAAAAGAAAAAAGCAGCTTCAGGTTTACTGCACAGAATCTGAAGTAAGGACACCATGATACTACTTTACTCCAAGCACCTGGAAGAAGCCAGAACTGGCTCTGTACACTATAATGTTAAAAAATGCTAGCATTTCAGCTTCATTTTTTTTCCTCAGTCTACTCATGAGTTTATTTAAACAGAATCTCATAGCTGCCACTGTGTCCAGTCAACACAGTGCTATTCAACTAAACTTACTTTGCTAAAACCACGAGGTGAGTTGTACCCTACTTATACAGGAACTGAATAAAGCCACATGCAAGAAAGCAAGCAATTAATACCTGTCCTCAGAAAAGGTAGAGCGAAAAACATTTCCGATCCTGACCGATGAGTGTTACGCATCACCTGCCATACAATGAGCTCAGTAATTCTGTATTAAAGTAACCCTACAGCTTTTAATTAGACATCTGTAGTGTGTTCTTAATGCTACAGACCAGTTGCTCTAAGCTTTCTGAACCACCCGCAATGGAAATCTAGACCCTGGCATAGAGAGCCCTGGAGTAAATCTACTGGTAATAGGCTTACTCTTTTCCCCTCACAGACCTCAGTATTAGCATTGCAGCATACAAAGCCACGAGATGAAAATGACCAGGCAGTAATCACTAATTTTTGTTGCTTCTTTAAATTTCTGGGGTTATTTTGAGCATTTTTCAGGTGAAGGTAGGAAAACACTGGGACATGCTAACACTGGCCTCTCTGAACTTGAGAGCAAATGGAGGATGAGGATGAGGCTGGCCTAAACTTTGGCACTCATATAAACTTATTTGCACTACAGTTAATGATTCAGTTTGTGCATTTTCTTTTGGGGAAAGGTAGGGGTGTTTTTTCAACTCCACATGGAAATAATGGAAACTAAGCATTACAAAAATAACTTTTAAAGTCTTAACAATACAAAATAACAACTTTAAAACTATTTTACTCCTTTGATTATCAAAGTATTTGCTCTTACACTGCCTTTATTCTGTGCCTGTGTAAACCAAGCTTGTTTATATTCACCAAAAAATGTCAGTTACTTAAGTTTTACATAAAATTAATAAAAAGTTTGCTTTTAACAAGCCCTACACTACAAAGCATGGTCAAGTTAACAGTGAGTATCTACCTGTTCACTATCTTCTGCTGAGGCATTTTTTGCATGCCTTCAATGATGACTTGCAAGAGCTTATGCTTTGGTTTTCATACTGGAGTTTAAAGAAAATAGAACAAGCAAAATCTAAATTATTTCTAGGATTAGTCTTTGCTTTCAAGAAGGCATAACAGATCTACTAAATCTTGAAGGATTTGGTGTTCAAGACTGAGAAAACTCTGTATCTTAAATGTGCCTTCCCCAAAATGGAGAAGCTACACTGCAAAGACTATGAATCACAATGTTTCCTCTTCTTCCTGCTCAATCTCTTCCAACTTCGAGAAACAACTTCAGGAGTTCAATGTTCAAAGACAGATTGGTGGCTTTTGCAGACTTCTTTTTGTTTGGGATGTTCTAGTCTTAACTTCTCATTAAAAAAAATCCCAAACATAATACTGCCACAGACTCAAATGAAGATACAAAGCCATTGTTTCTCTTTTCCTGATCATTAGGGAAACAATTCAGATTTTATAGAGCAAGATATAATTATACGACAGAGTTATAACAGGCAGGGGACATCTGCTACACTTTCATTCCTATAATCCATTTGGACATAAATAGGATTACAAACATCCTAACAATATA